GTACTTGATTAATTCAGATGAAAAAACTCAGGGAGATTAAACAATTAACCTGAGGTCACAGTTCTAAAAAGTGGCACAATGAGGATTCAACCCAAGTCAGTCTGGTTTCAGAGTCTCATCTTTTTTTCACTGATTAAATTCATGCAGAGCGTAAGAGAAACGGAGAGGCTGACAGTGCTCCCAAATGCTCTTGGAGGCTGAAAATGTATTAGCTTAGATGAGAACGTTTCAAAGATGAGATGCTTCACTTGGCTTTGAAATTTAAAATTTTAACTGTTTTGGAGATATGGCAGTGTTTAGCAGGCAACTGGAAATTCAGATGCTGAATTAGGAGAGAAGTCCAGATCGGAAACATATATTTTGGAGTCATTGCAGAAAGTTGAAAAAGTTGAATAAATAAACTTTCCAAGAAAGAGCACCCAAGAGAGTAAGATAAAAAGAGGGTCAAGGAAGACTCTTAGTAGTATTTCATTTAATGAGTAGAAGTGAAGGAAAATCTGTGAAGCATAGTGAGGTTAAAGGTTCAGAGGGGAATCTAAGACTTCAAGGAAGAGAATTCAACAGAGAGTAGGTGTCAACAGTGTCAGATGCTGCTGAGATCAGAAAGGGTAAGAATAGAGAAAAGGCCATTTAGAGAGACCACTGGGGACCTTTGGGAGAACCATTTTTGTAGAGTGGAAGACCTGGATTTAAAGTGACCATTTGATAATGAAGTTAGAAAAGCATAAGGGACATTAAAATGGGATGGGAAACACCAAGTATGTTTCCATTAATAGGTCAAGGAGAATCAAGAGTGATTGACACTTCATAGAAGGATGACTGATGGAGGGCAAGACCATGGAGAAGACTGGAAAGAATGAGAGCAGGGCATAGGTGAGAAGTCGTCCCTGGAGAGGAGGTTAGTCTCTTCATCTTTAGCAATCTGAAGAAATTCAGGGTAGGGGAAGTAAAGGAAACCCATGTTGCCTGATCTCTCTTTTCTTAAAAAAGTATATGCAGTGGCTCACACCTGTAATCAGCACTTTGGGAGGCCGAGGCGGGCGGATCACCTGAGGTCAGGTGTTCAGGACTAGCATGACCAGTGTGGAGAAATCCTGTCTCTACTAAAAATACAAAATTAGCCAGGCATTGTGGCACACGCCTGTAATCCCAGCAACTCAGGAGGCTGAAGCAAGAGAATCTCCTAAACCCAGGAGGTGGAGGTTGCAGTGAGCTAAGATCATACCATTGCACTCCAGCCTGGGCAGCAAGAGCAAAACTCCATCTCAAAAAAACCAAAAACCAAAAACCAAAAAACAAACAAAAAAGTAGATACAAATAATAATCTGCTAAAGTTGAAGGGGTTTGATGGGGGCATTTGAAGGGCTGAAGAAGAGTGTAAACAATCCAAGCCTTCCTCTTTTACCTTTGACTACCATATTGTTAAATGACTCATTGCAGACATTACATTTCCTTTGTCTTCCCTTTATTGGTTTGTGGGTTGTTTTTACTGGCATCAAGCATGAGATATAGTATACTTCCAGCTCTTTAAAGTGTTCTCATTTTTCCTGGCACTTAAGAAATATGTTCAGGATTTCATGTAAAAAGTGAAGATACCAGAAGAGGATACAATCGTGGCAAAATAATAAGCAAATTAATTAAATAAATAAGATATGACAACTCAGCATAAAAACACTGAAGTGATGAACCATAAATGAGATTTTTTAAAAAATGAATTCTTTAAAATGTTATATCATGTAAGTAAGCTTTGCCTTAAAATGACCATCACATTTTCTAAGCATTATCCTAGAAAAATGAGAAGCATATTTTTACTTTCAAGAATTGATCCTCATACTTCATATGCCCTATTTCAAGATAAGAAGAAATATCTTTCATAGTGTAAGTAACAATAAAACCACTGCTGATGATAACGGTAATAGAAACATTCCCAGTTCTTCCAAACTGTAGGTCAGGGACTGAACTTCAAAGGGAATACTCTGAAATTCATGCAGAATGGGATGAATTCCAGCCCACCCACTGCAAAGTGCTCCCCTACTCATCTATTTTTCTAGAGATATGATTAGTGTTGCAGGCATGCTCAGGGATTTTCCCGGTCATGGAGAAATGGCTGGTTTGTAGCTGCTCTGGTTCAGCTCTCACAGCTCTCTGAGGAACACTGAAAAGGGCTGAATCCAGCAGCTGTCTTAGCAGAAAGCTAAGGGGAAAAAGTGAGGGGGATGGTGAGCTCAAACTTTCATGTGTGGCCCATGTTTGATGTGGCTGAAAGAACTGGCTAGAACAACACTTTTCTCTGTGACAACACTTTTCATCTTGAGGAGCTCAGATATTTTTGGCCTCCAGATAATTCTATATGTGGACGAGCATAGCAACTAGCACAAGATTAAAGTAAAGACAGAAGAGGCGCTCAGTTATGTATTTAGTTTGTTTAGTAAAGGCAGAGGTTTAATCACATACTTACATTTTCCCTCTTCAAAACTTTTCCCTTGAGGAAGAGCCATGCACTGTTTTACTGCTTACGAGGTGATAGTGAATTCTGTATTATGCATAGTGTAACTCTGTGTTAGACAGTTATATAAATTAACCCATTTAACATTATCAACAGCCCTGAAAGGTAGTTTTTGTCGCCTCAATTTTAAAAATGAAAACAACAACTGTCTAGAAAATAAGCCAATTTTCCAAGACTATTCAGCTGGAAAACAGAGAAACTGAAATATGAATACAGATCATGTGGATGCAAAGCCTATGTTCCATCCACCAAAGGAAGCTTATCCATGGACCTCTCCTACCCCTACACACACATATACTATAGCCCTCCACATAGAGATAGTCTTATTTTTTTCTCTTGATTAAAAGATAATAATAATTCTAGGGCACGGTGGCTCATGCCTGTAATCCCAGCACCTTGGGAGGCCAAAGTGGCAGGATTACTTGAGGTCAGGAGTTCAAGACCAGCCTGGCCAACATAGTGAAACCCCATCTCTACTAAAAATACAAAAATTAGCCAGGCACGGTGGTGTGCACCTGTAATCCCAGCTACTTGGGAGGCTGAGGCAGGTGAATCACTTGAATCCAGGAGGCGGAGGTTGCAGTGAGCTGATACTGTGCCACTGCACTCCAGCTGAGGCAAGAGTGAGACTCTGTCTCAAATAATAATAATAATAATTCTAAATTTTAGGCTTAAAAAGTCCTGAAGAAGAGAGCTTCAAGATTTGATTTCTGAAAGGTAAGTTCCGATGTTACCATGCTCATTCTGTTAAATTTTTATGAGAATCTAAACCACTTTTAAAAATGCAATAATGGTCTTTGAGCGAAATTGGAAAACACACACACACACACACACACACACACACACACACACACAGACATAATCTAGGATACATTCACTATTTGGTTTCAGTTTCAGACTTGACCTTGACTTTTGAAAGACAGAATAGTTGAATGCCTACTCCATAATATAATGTCAGTAACACAAACAAGGTTTGTTATTCTGATTAATATTTACATGTAAACATTCACTTTCAAATATAAGTGATTATATTATATATATTATATACTATGAATACATAGATTTCTATTATAATGCTCATAATGTAAGTATTCCAGATAGTACTTTAAGCAAAAATTCACTTGTGTGGTTTGTTCAAGTTTTGACAGCTGAACTATAAATACATTTTTACTATTCTGAGAGTAAAATGTTATAATAATTAATGAATATAAACTTACTAATTTTATCTTCCAAAAAGTTTCTCAATTATTAAAAGCTTTCAAACAGTTAAGTAGAAAAATAGGATTGACAGTTACTATGAAAATAGATTTATAATCCCTTATTTGAATTTTTTTTTTTTTTTTTTTGAGAGGGAGTTTCGCTCTTGTTGCCCAGGCTGGAGTGCAATGGCATGATCTCGGCTCACTGCAGCCTCTGCCTCCCAGGTTCAAGTGATTCTCCTGCTTCAGCCTCCCTAGTAACTGGGATTACAGGCACCTGCCACCCCACCCAGCTAAGTTTTTGTATTTTTAGTAGAGACAGGGTTTCATTATGTTGGCCAGCCTGGTCTCAAACTCCTGACCTCAGGTGATCCAACCACCTCAGCTTCCCAAAGTGCTGGGATTACAGGCGTGAGCAATTGCACCCTGCTTCCTTTTCTGAATTCCTTCGGACCTTATGTCTTTTGAAATGCAGAGCTACTCAGATTTTAGGAAGGTGATAGATTGCAGGTACCGTATTTATCAACATTTCCAGGGGTGGGGGGCTAGGAAACAAGATAATGTAGCACGATACTATATGGTAAAATGTGCGACCACTCCCACTAAGCCTCGCATCAGATCACACAGATTCTGTGGCTAAATGAGTTATGAAAATATTTTCATTTCTCAGAGCTTTTGGATTTTTAAATTGGAGATAAAAATTGTGGACATATTTTAAGGGAGGCATTCCTAGATAACTTTAGGAAAAGTAAGAAATTATTTATAAACAAGTGTTCATAAACATGAAAATAACAACATAAGACAGAAAAATACATTCTTAAAATTACACCATGATGCAATCTTAAGAGTTGTTGTTTTGTGATGTGAAATTTTAAACATTAAACAAAAATAAACTTTTAGGAGAGCATTTAATTGTAGTTATTTAATTCCACACAGGCCATTTTTCAGAAAAAAAAGGCCCTATTTGGGATTACTTTAAACCTTGCAAGAATGAATTAAAATAATTCAGTGTTACTACCTACAAACTTCACAAAAATAAAAAGCTCCAAAATTATGTATAATAACACTCAACGTGTATGATAGCCAAAGAAAAACTAAAAAGAAAAAAAAAAAAAAGATAAAACCCATGATGGAAAGAAGAGAATCTTAAAGAAGTCACTCAAAACACACCTTGTACTCACTCCTCTAACTCCAAAGCAATAGCCTTTACAAGAGTGCTTTAAGATACTTTCTTAGGGTTTTGAATCTATGGGTTCAAAAAATACTTAAAAACCTTGTTAAAATGATTGTTACAGATTGTTAACCATGTAAAGATAAAGGATATTTTAGACTTACCCAAGCTGTGAGTCCTAGGTACAAAATTTGTTCCAGAAAACTACTGAAAATTATTTTCGGGAACGCCTTGCGGTGGTAATGGCTGCCCCCAGCTGGCGCGAGGCTGGGCTCGTTCAAGCAGTGTTAAACGTCGGCACATGGACCCTCCTGTGGCGAGGGAGCGGGTGATCCCTTTACCTCACTCTTAGGCTATGGACGGAGGTGCGTGTCCTGCGTGGCGGGATCCGCTTTCTCCTTCCCAGCTTGGCCTCGGCTTCTTGCAGTCATGGCCAGGGCTCTGCCCTGGACCACTTCCTCAGGTTCCTTCAGCCTGACAGCTCGGTGATTCCTTGTGTCCCTGCAGTGTCCATGCACAGAGATGAGCAGGATCGCTGCTTGGTCCATCATCCTGATATGCCTGAGAATCCCCGGGTCCTACGAGTGGTCCTCCTGGAAGCCCGAATGCAGGGAAGTCAACACTCTCCAACCAGCTACTGGGCCAAAAGGTGTTCCCTGTTTCCAAGAAGGTGCATACCACTCGCCACCAAGCTCTGGGAGTCATTGCAGAGGCCCAGGTGATTCTACTTGACATACCTGGCATTATCAGTCCTGTTAAACAGAAGAGGCACCACCTGGAGCTCTGTTGGAAGATCCATGGAAGAGCATGAAGTCCGCTGATCTTGTGGTTCTTGTGGATGTCTCTGACAAGTGGACTCGGAACCAGCTCAACCCCCAGTTGCTCAGGTGCTTGACCAAGTTCTCCCAGATCCCTAGTATAGTATCCTGGTCATGAGCAAGGTAGATTGTCTGAAGCAGAAGTCAGTTCTCCTGAAGCTCAGGGCAGCCCTCACTGAAGGTGTGGTCAATGGCAAAAAGCTCAAGATGAGGCAAGCCTTCCACTCACACCCTGGCACCCATAGCCCCAGACTAGCAGTTAAGGACCCAAACACACAATCTGTGGGAAGCCCTCAGAGGACTGGCTGGAACCACTTCCAGGAGATCTTCATGTTGTCAGCCCTAAGCCAGGAGGATGTGAAAACACTAAAGCAATATCTCCTGGCACAGGGGGCCTAGCCAGGGCCCTGAGAGTACCACAGTGAAGTCCTTACTAACCAGACACCAGAAGAGATCTGTGCCAACAACATCGAGAGAAGCTCCTAGAGCACCTGTCCCAAGAGGTGACTTACAATGTGCAGCAGCAGATGGCAGTGTGGGAGGAAGGACCTAGTGGGGAGCTGGTTATCCAACAGAAGCTTCTGGTGCCCAGAGAATCTTATGTGAGGTTCCTGATTGGTCCAAATGGCCACCTGATCTCTCAGATTGCACAGGAGGTGGGCCCCCGACCTCATGAGCATCTTCCTCTGTGATGCTGACATCCGCCTCTCTGTAAAGCTCCTCAAGTGACCACCTTCTACTGACCCTCCCAGGGCATTCCAGCTCAAGCTGCTGGCAGGCACTGATCAGATCTGTCCTTGGCTGGGGACCCTCCAGGGACTGGTGAGGGACATGAGTGCTGGCTGGCTGCTAGCTGGCCTGACCCTACTCAGTCTGCACAGTCCCTGCCCAGCTGTGTCTCCTATTGGAAGAAGGAACCTGCCTTAGTTCAGTTCCCAGGTGGCTCCTCTGCCTAGGGCCACAGCTACAAAAGTATAGCTAAGAAGATGGCCTACAAGAGGGAGCAATGTCACCCTGCCTCCAGCTGGCTTTGGGCCCAGAGTTTCTCCCTGAGCCACTGTTGTGTGCAGGGAGATCTTTTTCTGCCCCTGCTTCCTTCACCTTAAACTTGTATAAGGACTTGAGTCTCCTGAGTGAGGTAGTGCCTCCCATCTGCTCCCCAATTCTTGATCTCTCCCACCCCATCCCTCTCCCCAGTCTTGGATACTAATGAAGTTAAAAGACAAGCAAAAAAAAAAAAAGAAAAGAAAATTATTTTCTGCTTTGCACAGAAAAGACGAGTGTTGCTATTATATGTGCCACTTGAAAGGGGGCGTCTGTCCAATAACACAAATGCAGGCTCTAAAACAGCCTTAGCCAACTTTGCTAAGAAATTATTGTTCCTGAACTGTCCTATCAAACTTAAAATTTGTCTAATTTTTAATAATATAATTGTAATCCTAATAGTTTTAAAAAATAACACTTCTGATTTAGTTTTGTATCCCAGAAGTTAAGTCGCTAATGGTGATAATAACATTCAGCTTCACTGAATATCGATTTTAACACACGGCTACTTGGCCAAAATGTACATTTGGTATCATATATATATATATATATATATATATGGCAATTTATATATATTTATTTTTACTTTATATAGAGAATCATGATGCACTTACTGGCTAAACCAGTCTTCTGGTATTAGGTTGGTTATCTTTGCTGCCCAACTCAACTGCTGTAATTTTTGGATTTGGGCCACAAAACTGTACAGTTACAGATTCTGACAGTGTGTTACTGATGAAAATTAGCTACTATTTACTGATCTTCTGTTATGTGTCACACATTGATCAAGGTACCTTCAACAACAGTGAAAAGGTCGTTTTAGTGTTATTCTAGTTTTACAGGTGAGTAAATTGAGACTCAGACTTAAATGTTGAGTTAGAACTCATGCCTTTTTTACTCCAGTTTTTCACTGTATCAGTGTTTTTCAACATTGAGTAGAGAGGGAGAGTATTGAAGACTCTAAATATTGACTTAAATTATTTTATTATATCATTAAAAATCACATACAAATATTAGATGAGGGAAAACTCCTAATTATGAAGGCAACTCCTAATTATTAGATGAGGGAAAACTTTCATATGACAATAAAACCAAAGAAAATTAACAAATCAGAACCAAATTACAATATGTGTCTACAACATTAATGTGATGATCAATGTTCTGCTTAAACTTAGCTGTCAATGTCAAGTTAAATAGTAGAACAATGTGTTTGTGTGTTTGTCTACATGATTCCTTTGCTTTCTCATATAACAAATCCTTTGACTCACTGCCATTGTTTCGGCATTTGAAATACTTTGTGACGTTTATCATTTATTATCTTGTTCTGCCAACAATTTTAGTAGTTTCCTGCCAAATGCAGTACATGAGAATAGCTTTTTAGCCAGGCACGGTGGCTCACGCCTGTAATCCTAGCACTTTGAGAGGCTGAGGTGGGTAGATTGCTTGAGCTCAGTAGTTCAAGATCAGCCTGGGGAACATGGTGAAACCCCATCTATACAAAAAATACAAAAATTAGCCAGGTGTGGTGGCTTGCACCTGTATTCCCAGCTACTCAGGAGGCTGAGGTGGGAGGATTGATTGAGCCCAGGAAGCGGAGGTTGCAGTGAGCCGAGATTGTGCCACTGTGCTTCAGCCTGAGTGACAGAATGAGACGCTGTCTCCAAAAAATAAAAATAAAAATAAAAAATAAATTTATTAAAGAAGAAGAGAATCGTTTTTTAAAGTTTTAAAATTGTAACTATGCTAATGTTAATGAACTGCCATGAGAAGGACTGTATGAAAAAATAATATATACACTCCAGACTCCTGCTCTAGCATAAAGTTGTCTACTATAGCACATTTTCTCTTGAGTTCAACAAGCCTGTAAACCATGCTCAATGTAATGATTCCATTTTCCTACCACTTTCCTCTATTCAAATCTCTGGGAACCTTTGCTTGTGCAACAAAGCATGATGTCATTTGGCTTGCTATTAACCTGCTCATAAGCAGAAATGCAAAGGAGGACACTAAAACCGCATAGCACTACTCAGCTGTAAGATAGTTATTCTGATGACTCACAGCATGCTTATCTTCATTGTTTTAGAATTAAAAACAACAATAAAAATGTAAAAATTAAAAAACAATTCTCTTTGAACTTCCATACTCCTGAGAAGACAAACATGGAAACAAACATAGGTTCTGTTAGATATTAGTAGTAGACGTGCTGTAAACAAAATAAAATTAAAAATCTTCCCTTGTTGAATATGTCCAGGAAACTCATTACTGTATTAAAGGCTCTGAGAAATTCCAGTTAACTTTGTTTTGCTCGGTTCAAACTACAACGTATTTTGGTGAATGCCAACGTAAACAACAATACACTAGGTACTAGAATCAATACATCTAGAGAGAACCACATAATTTCAAAGACAAATCATCTCAAAATATTGACTGGAAAATTGTTTTCAGCTCAGATCTTCTAAAATTTCTTTTTCTTTTTTTTTTTTTTATAGCTCAGTCTTCAAAGGGCTATAGAAGTCGGATGTCTGTCCGATATTAAGCACACATAGTAATATCTGTATTCAATTTAACTCTCATCTTAAAGAGAGAAATTTTATCTTTTATTTTGAATATGCCCAGTGCCTAGCATAGTGTCTTGCATGTTGTAAACACTCACCAAATGTTTGACTGATGATACAATTTCTCCAAGCCCTAATTGTAATTCACAGGCATGATTTTTGTTAATAATAACCAAGTCCGTAGAGACTGAAACAAATGAACACAAATGACAAAGCCAGAGTACTCTTGGGAACCTTGTTGCTGTTGAATAAATATGAATAAATATTCATGGTATATGCATGAATAAAATATATGGTAGGACATTTTTATTTATGAATACAATAAACAAGATTGAAAAGAACATGGGATATATTTTTAACTGGTGGCTTTCCCTTTTTACAGGAATGGATGGTTTGATGCTTCATGTTTTAAAAAGGTGTTTTCATCTCCTTTGAGATTTTTACGAGTCCTTTTTAGTTGGGAAAAACTGCTGCCTCCTGTAGCACAAGGTCTGTAGAAGCTGCTTGTGGATTTTGGCCCTGGGGATGTAGGTGTTATTGTGTATTTCTATAATTTTTCAGGGATATGTAACTTGCCTACAAAAATATGACTGTGGGCTGAATCTTGGCAGTTAACATTTTAGTAAAAGAATATATTTAGTAATATCTGAATGTCTAAAAGAGTAACACATAGGTAAGCTATTTTTAAAAACTGGGTGACAAAAAACATTGGTTGTTATTGCCACTTTTTGGATATGTTTGGCTATAATTAAATAACAACTTTAAAATTTATGTTTTAAAAAACATTTGAGAGTCAAGGATTTAGGTTAGCTCTGCATTGGCTCACCTCATCATGAAAAACAAATAGGTCAAATCCTTCATTTGGAAAATTGGTGACACTGGGCAAGACTTTTTGAGGATCTGACCTCTTTGGGTAGTAGGTATTTCCATCACCTCTGCAGTATTGACATAGGTCAATACATATTGACTTATGTTCTTGGGCTCAATTTTATTATTTTATTTTTATTTTTAGAGGGAGTCTTGCTCTGTCCCCCAAGCTGGAGTGTAGTGGCACAATCTTGGCTCACGGCAGCCTCCGCCTCCTGGGTTTAAGCGACTCCCCCACCTCAACCTCCGGAGTAGCTGAGATTACAGGTGTGCACCAACACTCCAGGCTAATTTTTGTATTTATAGTAGAAATGGGGTTTCACCATATTGGCCAGGCTGGTCTCAAACTCCTGACCTCAGGTTATCTTAGGCTCAAATTTTGATGGATAGTAATGATCTGGAGTTCTCATTACGATCTCTCTTTTTCATTGATTCATTTAGTTTAAAAAGTATGTATAAAGAGTGTTTAGGTTCCTTGCCTTGTTCTGAAAGTATACAGTGACAACACCTAAGAAGTGGAGAGCATTGTCTTTGTCTAACAGGTGATTGTAACTTAGAAATGCAGATGAAACAAAAGTAATCAGGAGTGTAATGTAAGTCTTTTACAAAGAGATACTGTGATTAGTAGCTTATGGAATAGAAACAAGTTAACTACAAATTAAAAAAACCAAAATGAATGAATAATAAACAGATTTGGAAGATAGCTTAGTGCTGTGAAAACCTCATGCTTTGAATCTAAGTGCTACAATTGATTGTTACCTAATCTTTTTTGGCTTTAATGCCTTCATTTGCAAAATAGGGATAATTATAGCTACCTTGCAGGGTTGCTGTAAAAATTAGACAAATACAATGTATTCTATAAACGAGGACTACGTAATGAATATTATTTTCATGAACAAATCTCCATGGGAGTTTCTCAGCCATTAAGCACTAGTAGTAATACTCAACAAGGTAAAAGTAGGGCTGTTTAGAATAACCAAAAAGGTCTTGTCCTTGCAGAGGTCAGACCTGAGTGAGAGTAGATTATAGACAATTGATGAGAGCCAAAGGGAAGAGTAATTGTTACCAGCCAAAGCTTAGTTTAGAAGAGAGCCCTTCTTGGACCTTACTTAGAACGGAAGCCCCTAGGTGCTAAAGTCACATTGCAGAATTATAAATCCAAAACCTGCATGTTCGTATTCAATAGTGTAGCATAGTCTTAATGCAAATGTTAAGTTGGATGTAGTTATTATTACTGAAATTTCTTTAGCTAAGAGGAGACTTATTGCAAGACTAAAGAAGGAAAATAATCAGACCGTATCAAAACTCATCTGTTATTGGCCATATTTTCATATTTTGAAAAATCCACTGATTTATCTTCCAATCACATAGCAAGTGAGCATTAGACAGTATTTTCACAGACATCATCTCATTCCACCCTGACAGCAACATTGGAAAGTGTGCATACTATCCTCATTGTAAGTATGAGGAAACAGGCTTAAAGAGCCCAGTAGGGCCAGCATGAGAGCCTGGGTTTTATTTGTCTGTAACTATACCATGTTACACAGCTCCTACATATCATCTATCATGGTGATTTTCTGCTGTTATTTGTATATTTCAAGTAGGTAACTGAAGGAGAGGGCACTAAGGTGAGGGGATGGAGGTATGGAGGGATACAGGTGCTCTTGTGGTGGAGATGGGGGCATATATGGCATGTAAACCATGAGATTGAAATGGGGTCTGGGTAGGGAGGAGACCATAGACCATCAGGCAACCAAACTCTA